ATTTGAATTACAATATAAACATATCCTCTCATGTCGAGGTAATGTTTCATATCTACCACATACATTGATAAAACGTTCATGTCTGCCAGTTTCTATTCTTAAACAGTGATTGCTGAGTCTGTATTTTGTTAACAAATGTTTTTGGGGGTGCTTTAAATCTAAATAATTTTCATAGTTAAATGACCTCTTGAATGAAAAATAAGTGTCCAATTTGCCATGATTCTGTAAATAAAAATCTCGCATTTTCTTCCAATCATTTTGAAAATTTAATTTGAGCTGTTTTTTCAGTAAATTTTTAAATTTATTTTTGCCTAAATTTTTACATATATTTAGGTCAATACCCAATTTTTCGCTGTAGAAAATGATATTAGAGAGCCATGAATTATTGGAGTTAGTTTGAGCTTTACTCTCAATCATTTTTAACTCAGCATAAGCACTTTTCAATAAATCAGATGGGGAATTCTCTAGTCTATGCCAATACATAAACATATGTGTTAGCAAATTTATATAAAGAGGATATCTACCCAGTTCAGACAGGACTGTTACGTTTGTGCACATCTTTGTAACACCAATAATATACTTGCAAAATTTAAGATTTAGCTTCTCAAACTCCCAATCTTTAAATATGTCATAAAGGGATAATTTTTTCCTTTTAGGAGTAATGTTAATAACACCCCAATTTTCACAACCATACGTTACAATTGGCTGTATACAATGATCAAATAAATGCAAAAGAGTTTTAATAGGAGGATTTGATGATTTCAAATCTTTATACAGTTTAAAACTGGCCTTTTGACCTTTTTGGAATAATTGTTTCCTGGCTTCATTAAAGTTTCCAGTATTTTGGATGACTATGCCAAGATATTTGTATTGTTTAACACATTCGATAGAATTATTTCCTATCTTGAAATCTTCATTAAGGAGTCTACCACTCCTATTGAATATAATAATCTTTGTTTTCTTCACATTTATTTCCATACACCAATCTTTGCAGTACACATCTGAGAGTACTCGCAGTTACTGACAGCTAGTTCAAAGTCAATAACAATTAATAAAAATAATCATGCATCTAAGACTAAAATGCGTATTCAGGTATTTAATCATCCAAGGTGGAGTTTTTAGTTTGCAGAATTCTTTTGTTTGCTTAACCAATTTTGTCAGAATTTGTGCTTTCTTTCGAATTTTAATGACTGAAACCAACAGTTAAACTACCAACACGAGGAAAAACATTACTACCATTACCATAAATTTTTCATCTAGATTTGGGAACAAAATGGGGTTCTTATGAATCCCTTCCTTTTAATAAGTATGCGATTATGTGATTTTAAGTGCATGATTTTGAGCTTTCAGATTATTTACAATTTACATGACACAAGTATAATCATATTTCTATCACCGTGGAAGTTTAATGATAAAATGATTCTCTGTAATCCCATGCATGATGGCTTACCTGATGAAATATATAACTTGTCTAAGAAAAGAGAGGCGAAATATACCAAAAGGACTTTCAAACTCATAAGTCGAAAATAAACTGACAACGCCGTGGTAAAAAACGAAAAAGACAAAAAGACAAACAACAGTATACAAAACACAACATAAAGACTGAGCAATGCCTACTCCGTCAAAAACCAGGGGTGATCTCAGGTGCTCCGGGTAGGGTTAGCAGATCTGCTCCATAGGTGACACATGTCGTGTTTGCATATGTAAGTATACACCCAATGATAAGTCTAATTCGAGGAAAAGAAGACAGGATTGTGGTTACGACGATTTGAACATATTCGTCGTCATCTGTGAAACAGATATTCCATAACGGTCAACCAACTCGTGATGGCGTCCTTAAAATTTTTAACCGATCATTTCAACTTCACCACTTGGAACTCTTGGTTTACTAGCTTCCATGTGAGCAGCAACCCTGTATCAAAGAAATCATGATAAGGAAACGCAAGACGCATATGCAGTCACATCCGAGGAAAAGAACGGGATTGTGGTTACGACAATTGGAACATATCCGTCGTCATCTGTGAAACAGATTTAAATAATTTTTCAATAATCCACGAATGACCGACCATAACACGACATGACAAATCACATTTTTAAACAATTCAATTAGATGTACTGCCCATAAATTATATTAAAAAAAATACAAACCATTAGTTCAAATAGTTTGTATAAAGTAAAATAAAAAAAAAAACGCCAAATGCTCTTTAAGCATCATTATGGACAATGAACAAAGAAGATACATTGAAATGTGTTTCTTAACACAAACAATCATTTTGTTGCAAAACAACTAAAATTGTTCTTGTGTTAAAGTATATAGCATTTGTCCTAATTTTACCGATATTGTTGAATGTATTTTGTAGACTTAATAGAAGAAGATCAAGTACCAAGGAGATTTTATATGTATATATAGATTGTACCTCACCACCTCGTCGATTTCGATACTTATCCACTCAAGTTTGTTAAGTTTAACACTTCAGATATTGTTGAATGTTGTTCGCAGACTAAAATAGCGAAAGATTAAGTATCAAGAAGATTTGATGAATACTTAGATTGTACCACACAACCCCGTTTTCGATACATATTTCTGTATTTATCCACTCGAGATAGTTAACTTTTTTACACTTTAAAAATGGAAACTATCGAGGTCATCGGGAGTGGTCAAATATCAACGGAGTAACGTGGTATAATCTCATTCTCAAATGATTTTAAAGTTAAAAACGAGTACAGCGTTCCGAATGGAAAAGGCGAGAATTACAGGAAACGAAAAATATGTATCAAATTGGTCAGGATCGATTGAAATGCATCCAGAATAAGATAAATACGATTAAATTTACAAAGTTAAGCCATTGCCAGGAAAAATATAAACCTTTTTGCATGAGCCTTAGAAACAGGGGATTTGGCGAGGAGTCAACAGCTTCGTGCCGAATCCATAAAAGTGGATATTTTTTATAACATTGAATGGCTACAATGAATAGCCATTCAAATTTTAACATAAAGATTTTGCATCCCTTGATTGAGAAGACAAGTCATGTGGCAAAAATGGACACCCGCTGCATTTGTTTGCACCTGTCCTAAGTCAGGAATCTGATGTTCAGTAGTTGTCGTTTGTTGATGTGGTTCATAAGTGTTTCTCGTTTCTCGTTTTTTATATAGATTAGACCGTTGGTTTTCCCGTTTGAATGGTTTTACACTAGTAATTTTTTGGGGCCCTTTATAGCTTACTGTTCGGTGTGAGCCAAGGCTCCGTGTTGAAGACCGTACTGTGACCTATAATGGTTTACTTTTATAAATTTTGATTTTGGCACTCATACCACATCTTCTTACATCTATTGTACAAAATATCACCATTTTTACTTTATTTAGGATATAAAGACAACAACCTATGTTCCAGCTGTAATATAGATGATTTTATTGAACCATATTGAGAGGCAAATCAGCAAATCTACCAACAGTGTAGGGAGAATCAAAATCCACAAGTCGAAGAGAGACCGATAAAATCATGGCAAAAAAACTAGATACGACGATAACATAGTCTACGAAACACTTGAGATTGGGCAACACGAACCCATAAAAACCCGGGTGATTCGGAAGGATACACAGACCCTGTTCTACATTTGGCACCAGTCATGTTGCTCATGATGAGTACAGGTTCGCATTATGTGATGTCACAATCAAGAAAAGAGGACAGGAGAATGACTACTACAGTTGGAACATATCCGTGATCATCTTTGGCACAAATATTTCATAACGGTCAACCATCTTTCGGATAGATGACTTCAACCCTTGATTCGTTAGCTTCCTTGTATGCAGCAACCCTCAATCAAAGAAATCAGGATAGAAAACGCAAACATTTTAACATGATACGATAAAGGAACTTAACGTAAGGAAAGAAGCACACGAAACAATCCTTTCGTGCCAACACTTTGTAGATTTATTAATTGATGGATGCTAAACACCCAGCGGCAAATACTACATGCATATGCGGGTCTATATATCAAAGGCATATTCAGGACAATTACATGTTTAAGGAGATACGAATAATAAATAGTCTTTTATATCTTAACTTTTTGTCAATTGTCTAATGGATTCTCGCTCTTGTCCATGCTATATTACAATTATAACAGTAATTTACATATGATGCAACTTTATTCTTGTCGAATATAAGGGGCCCATGCACAAGCGACTGTGATATATCCTACTTTGTGCAAGACACATGTTGATACATTTGTATGCTAACTCGTAATTAATTTTAAAGGAACTGTAAGGAAGACATAGAACCTTATTCTATTATTCAGATACATTGTAGTTTATTCTGACTCCTAGTTGATCAGTCCTTGCTCTTTCTCCAAAATGACGTGTGCTTGGCGGAGGAGCAATAACTACTATGATATCTAAAGTCTTTTATTTAAATACGTCGGGGTCGAACCCAAGACCTTAACCATGCAATCTAGAGTTTCATGATAACGTAAGGTCGTGGTTCCAATCTTTTATTGGTCAAGAGTTGACTTGTTTGATATCAGTTTGGTTTTATGTCCCGTTTTTTATATACCAGTAACGAAAATGCTCATCTGGGAACAAAGTTCAGTCGTCTTATAGTACATGGAAAATTTCGATGTAGTATGTTATTTTGATTTTGTTCTCTTTTCAAGAAAAAAAAGCCATCAGAACAATGTGATCGACGTCTTCTTAGATTCCACAAGATTTTTTTTTAAATATTATTTTTTTGCCCTGTAACTTTGTAGTAGCAAACATATAAAATTATGAGTACGAGCCATTTTTTTCAAGTTAACATAAGAGCAGTGAGATAGTCTTCTTCTGAAATTCCAGATAATTTTGTTTGGATGTTGATTTGTAAAGTTGTGTTTAGCTGTTCATTTGTAAAGTTGTATTTAGCTGTTCATTTGTTCAGTTGTATTTAGCTGGTACAGAATGAAATCATCAGCATTAGATCCGGAAAGAAAATTAAATATATGATATCATTTTAAAACTATGAGACAAAATGTCAGAAAATTATATATTTTATATAAGCGAATACATAACAAAAACCCCAAAAGGCAATAATAGGTGTGCCATCACTAGATTTTTTGGTAAATCCGTTTATCCAACCCTTTTTCATCTAAGAGTCCACATTATAAGATACAGTGAAGAAGCTGTAGCTATCAGTGTTAACCACGAAGCTGAAATACAAAATTACATGATTTTTATATCTTTTTTCCGAGTGCAAAACACGTGTTTGTTTTTTCTTTTTATGAAAAGATGAAGTGCTAAGAATATTACAAAGGTAAATCTATAATTTGAAAATATGTTATTGAGCATATAACCTTTTTTCCACGTACCTTTTTGTTTATATTTTATAAACGTTGCGTGCATGTGTTCGGATTCATAATCTTTTTTTTCGCGTGTCTGATGCAAGATAGCAACATGTTTCATGCACGCTAAAATCAACATCATCATTTTATATTGCGCTTTTGTCTTCCAACCTTACAATTCCCCCAGTATGCACTTATATCAACCTTGGCAGAAATAAACTATTATATACTAAATACAAATAACAAGCATTGAATTGCTATATTTTGTCATAATTATTTCCATATAGGTAATCAAAATACAAAAAAGTTCGTCTTTTGTCTACAGTGTTGTCAGCCTTTCTTTGGGTTTTGGTGGTCGCGTGCTCGCCTCGAGTGCGGTAGGCCGTGGGTTCGTTCCGCGCCGGATCAAACCAGAGTTTGAAAATTGGTATTCGCTGCCAACTTTATTTTCATATCACATTATAATCTTCTCGTCCTGGATATGCATTTAATTTGCCACTGCATGGACGTTAAACATCCACCCATCCATCCATCTTGAAGTTCTTCAACTTACGGGTTTTGAATGTCCCCTTTATAACTTTTACCCTTTTTTCATAACATTGTTATCTTTTCTTCCTTTTTTTTCCATTTTGAATTGAGTAACAACAACAAAATTATAAATTGTGTATTTATTTGCTAATATGTTAAATAGAAAAAATTTAAAATCAAATTCCTTTGAATGAAACTCAAGCAAATTACCTTTTATATTTAGCTAGTTGTTAAATGAATGTAGGAAAGAAAGTCACAAGACAAAAAGCCACAAACAAAAAGTTACAGACAAAAAGTCACGGACAAAAAGTCACGGACAAAAAATTTACAATTCAGTTTTAAGATTATTTTTTCGTTGAACAAGAAAATACTTATTTTTAAAAACATTTTTGTATTTTTTCTTGAACTATTATATATATGATGCAACTTTGTAAACAAAATTTATTCTAAAAAATCAATAATGTTGAAACAATTGCTAAGAAAATTTGTCAGAGTGGGTTGGTACTTAAAAGCTTCATGGTGCCAATAAATATATACTTTGCATGAAATTTGATAAATATTCATTAATCAAGGCATAATTGTGAACAATTTCCTAAACTGTAAAATGAATATATGCCATAAAAAAAAATAAAGAACTTTTTCTTATGTATTAAAACAATTATAAACAAATTATTTGTGACTCTTTGTCCTGTGACTTTTTGTCCTATCAAATTTGTGACTTTCTGTCCTGTGACTTTTTTCCTGTGAATTTCTGTCCGCTTACCTTGTTAAATATGTCCACCGGAAAAAGTACTTCGATGATTACACTTACCTGAATGTGAGGTACTGGCAGTGTCACAGTCATCTCCATCCGAAGCCTCTGTTAAATGATTTAAGTATCCAGCATCTGTAACAATAACATCATTAACTATGTAAAAATAAGAGTATGTGGATTGCTTTTACATAATGAAATAGTCTCTCTCTTAGCTATAAAGAGACTGGAATAATAAGAAAATCCTATAAATACTTTTTAAGCACAAATAACGCCCATGAAGAGGGTCAAAGGCATAATAACAATTACAACTAGTAGGTTTGCAATTGCGAGCAATAGCGGATGGCACCCTCGTCCGACAAATGCCACTAAACTGCAGACATTTTGAAAATTTAAAAACAGTCAATGCACATATATGCATGACGACACATATTTTTGTAAATTTGAAGAAGGTTTGAAGCATTTTTCAATTTTTCACATTTTTACTGTTTCCATGGTAACGGCGGCCATTTTGAAAATTCCAAAATCAAATATCAACTCTTCATATGCCAGTTAACATTTCTGCAAGTTTCATGAAGTTTCGAGCACTTTATATTTTTTCGCATTATTTCCATGGTAACGACAGCCATGTTGAAAATTCTAAAGAAAAACGGCAACACTACACATGCCAGTTACCATTTCTGTAAAGTTTCATTCAGTTTGGAACACTGTATTCAGTTTGGAACACTTTTTTTCGCATTTTTTTCTGTTTCCATGGAAACGGAGGCTATCTTGAACCATTCGATAGCAAGGTGCACAACTTCACATGGGGGTCCTCACTGTAGTATAGTTCCATAAACATTGGTCCGTTAAATTCCGAGAACTAGCGAGGACAAGAAAAACAAGGGAAAAAAGAAACGTAGAAGAACAATACGTCACTCAACTCGCCATAATTACTTGTAACAACAATATACACATGACATTTACATATAAATGAAATAAAACATTGAACACACAATACAACAAATGACCTCAAGTGCCCCTATACTCAGTTCCATAGACTGTTTTAAAGTTGCGTCGTTTTAGGAATTGACGAGATATATAAACGTCCTGTTTGTTCCCTACTTACATGAAGCAGTTGTAATCTTTTACATTCCAAATGTCATAACAGTCAGCCGATTAAGGATTTCAATATACCGGGTTAGATCCAACTAATTTGTACTCATTTTCTTTTTTTTTTTATGAAACGTTCAAACTGAACTTCATTAATTGTGAATCGGCACGCTGATTATTGTCTAATTTAATATAAGAAATATCATTTCTGTTACTTCACTTGTCCTATTTGTATGGTGCCATATGATATTGGAATATTAATTGTGCAAAATATTTTTCGAAAACGCAAGCGCGATAGAAATAAATATGAAAATTTAGTGAGTTAGTTTACAATGTACATTTATATGTGGATTCTACCAGTCTTTGTTAAATTTTCGACTGATAAATATTTGCAAAATCACCTTCGATCCCTCTTGTGCCGTTGTTCCGAAGGGGGAAATTCAGTCCAATCCATGTCCACTCTCTAGTTTGAAAGAAGATTATAACTTAAACATCAATATCTTCAAAACTAACTGACAGCCCCATGAATACAATCCTTCGTTATTGTGAACATGGGATGCACATTTTGAGCAAGTCCTTCTGCAATTTGTTAATTAAAGACCACTTCATTAATTTCGTGCGTCCGAAGCGCTTTTCTGGATTTATCCATCAGAAATGCCCAAACACAAACATTTGAAAGCCAAGGATGTATACGTGACCTAAACACGTAAAGAGCTGAATTCAAATCAAATCAAACATTTTGATTTGAATTCAGCTCTTTACGTGTTTAGGTCACGTATACTGAATGCTTCAGGATATTTATCCCAGGAAATGTAATAAATTGATGAAATTTCATAATTATTTTATAATTTTGTATATGTAATAGCGTCCCATGTCTTGATATATAACGTCTATTGTATATTTTAAACACGTGAATTTTTAATCTGCTAAGATATTGATGTAGATAACATTCATAGATATTTATGCGGTCTGTTTGATTAATGTGCATCGCTGTAAAAACATGCAAGGTCAAGTTTTCAAAATTTTCTTTAAAATGTGATGCATGTGCGAAGCATAAAATATACAATCGTTTATTCAATCATTTAATGGATTTTCTTTGATGTATTTTGACAAGAAGGGCTCAGTGTGTTTCATAACAATGTCGATGCTTTGAAGTTTGATTTAAAATCAAATGTTGCAGTAAATCATTGTACTCTTTTGCACTTTTAACAGAGAATCATTAGAGCATAACTGATTTTGTGACATATATTTGCGGTATATTTTTATATTTCGATTATTATCAGATTCAGATTCATACAAATATTTATAAATATTGATAATTTTTTTATATGATCTTTGTACGGTTTTTTTTCAGAATTCAAAATATGAAATGAAATAAAGTTACGTTACACAACAACTAGATTGGGCGAATGATGTTCAATGAATTTTTAATTCCTTTTCAAATGTAGATCTTTTTCACCATATGTAAAGCATTCATGTTGACTTTATGATTCGTTAATTTCATAAGTATAAAAAAATAAAGGAAGCATCGTATTTTAATAAGAATATAGTAGGCTATTAATTTTTTTTTTTGGTTGTAAAGGTAAAAATTGTAGGCTATTAGTTTATTCTGGTTATTATAAAATGTTGAGAACGAAAGAGATCGAAAATCGAATTCGAAGGTAGACTGGTTCCCTGTCCTTTATCTGTTTGGCTCTGAGATACCCGTATGTTGCAAGGGAGAGGACCAGCCTTATTCGAAGGCTAATGAATATGAAGCAGTTAGTTCTGCTGCACCAGTGAGTTGCATCTTACGTTTCAAATCCGGTAAAGGGAAGTCATATCTGAAAACCGCGAACAATGATAAAAATATGAGATATGGTCACAACAAATGAAACATATCCGTTATATGCGACTAACTGACTGCCTCGGTACAACATTGAAAAAGACGACTTTAACTTCATCACCAAGGGTCTTTGTAGCAGAAATCCTCAAGTATAAAATCATAAAAAGTTGACATGCAAAACGTTTTAAAGTGAAATGCACAAACTACATCATTATGTAACGATATCTTCTTTTTTATGAGGGGGGGGGGGGGGGGGCAAGGGGTTTAACTGTTATGCTGTTTTGGGGCAATTTAATTCTTAGTTATCTGTTATTCTGAAAATATATTTGCTGTTAGCTGTTATTGTCTTATTCCTTGTTAGCTGTTATTGGACTATTAGTCTTTTTGTTATCTGTTATTGTGAGAATGTATTTGCTGTTAACTGTTATTGAAAATTGGATTGTTAGCATTTTGACAGCCAATCTTCAGTAGAAATTGAATTGGGATCTTTCCACTATTAACATGGTGGTCCGTGTTCGGAGAAGGATTCAATTAACATATAGACATTTAAATGGGTTTACATTACACTAGTCATTTTTTGGGCCCTTTATGGCTTGCTGTTCGGTGTGAGCCAAGACTCCGTGTTGAAGACCGTTCTTTGACCTATATTAATGGTTTACTTTTACAAATTGTGACTTGGATGGAGAGTTGTCTCATTGGCACTCATACCACATCTTCTTATATTTAATCACATAAACATTTTGATATTAGTTGGGTCCAGGACCATTACAGTATATATTATTATCATCCTTTGTAATAAATTCCTTTTTCTATGAACATGTATTTCGAATTATCTTGATTTTGACATATAGGGATAACGATCCTTATTTCCCTGTATGTGCATATTAAATTCGAACAATTCTTTTAAAATATTACAAAAATTCGTAAGGGTTCCGCGGAACCCAGTACTAGTGTCTCGCCTACTTTTGATGTTAGTCGCAGGCTCAACAAAATGGGTAAACAGTTATTAAATAAATGGGGAATGTGTCCATGGGACACAGATGATGCCCCCGATTGCATATCATATACAGTTATAAAGGGACATAACTGAAGAATAGTAAAAGTGACCCAACCCAAATTTGTACTTGATCTGAGTTTTGTTGTAATACGTATGGTGTATAAGTTTCCATAAAATTTGGTTGTTGCAAACTTAATTTACTCGGAGAACGGAAACGAAAAATTCAGCAATTTTTATTTTTATACGACCGCAAAAATTTTTTTGGGATCGTATAATGGTATGATGTCGTCGTCCGAAGACACATTGGTTTCCGGACAATAACTTAAGTTAAAGTGAATGGATCTCTATGAAATATTTTAAGAAGGTTCAATACTACAAAAGGAAGGTTGGCAATGATTTTGGGGATGATGGTTCTAACCGTTTAGGAATTAGGGGCCCAAAAGGGAACAAAAACAAGCATTTTCTAGTTTCAGGATAATAACTTGTATATAAGTATTTTGATTGCTCTTAAATTATACCACAATGTTTTATACCACAAGTAGAAGGTTGGGATTCATTTTAGGGGTTATGGGGCCAACAGTGTAGGAATTAAGGGCTAAAAAGGGGCCAAAAACAAGCATGTTTCTAGTTTCCAGACAATAACTTGTGTGTAAGTGTATGGATCTCTCTGACATTGTAACACAGGGTTCCATATAACAAAGGGAAGGCTGGGATTGAGTTTGGGGTAAATTAGGGCCCCGCCGAATGGCGGACGCCCTATAGTGATCAGTCCGTCCGTCCGTCCGTCTGTCCGTCCGTCCGTCCGTCTGTCTGTCCGTCCGTCCGTCCGTCCGTCCGTCCGTAACAAATTGTGTCCGCTCTATATCTAGAGAACTGTTATGATTTCAAAGTTTATACTTGACATGTATATTAACCAACACCAGAGGGTGTGTCATAATGTATGTACAACTTCCTAGGTCAATTTTCAAGGTCAAAAACTTTGGTTTTAGTTGACAACCCAATGACCTATGGTAAAGATTGTGTCCGCTCTATATCTTGAGAACCGTTATGATTTCAAAGTTTATACTTGACATGAATATAAACCAACACCAGAGGGTGTGTCATAATGTATGTACAACTTCCTAGGTCAAAGGTCAAGATAAAAAACTTGGGTTTTAGTAGACAACCCCATGTCCTATGGTAAAGATCGTGTCCGCTCTATATCTTGAGAACCGTTATGAT